AAATCTCAATTTTTGATCCACATCAACATTATAGACTCCTATGAACCATTTCATCAAGTTTGGACCACAACTCCTCAAGAAATTTGATCAGATCATCAAAAGGGCAAAATGGTCATTTTTAGGGTTTTGACTGTAGAAGGGCAATTTCTGATTTTTCACCTAGCCAATGGCAAATTGGGTTCAAGCATGGTTTCATAGGCTCAATGGCACCATATTGACCTAATCACAAGGTTCAAAAGATCTCAAATGCATTGGATTAATAGATGAATTTTCCAGTCAACTGATCAAAAATCAACTGTACACTGAAAAGTCAAACTTTGACTTTTGGTCAATATCAAGTACCAAGGGTTATTTTTCATCAAGATGTGTCAAAACATGAAACTTGTTCACCAAGAAACCTAATTTTGAAAATTAGGGTTTAAGTTTGAAAATTTTCATAACTTAGAATTTTTCTAAGTTATGAAATTTCTTATTTTTCCCAACTTTTCCCAAATTTTTCACCATGATGCAATTGGATTCAAAGAAAACTTCCAACATGAAATTTGTAGTACTCCAAAAAATCTACAACTTTTATTCACAAAGTTTTCCCAAAAGATGCATGGATCTCAAGTTATGAATTTGTGAATAAGGGTCCATAAACTTTTTAACTTAGTGACATTTTGCCCTAGTTTAGGCAGATTTTTTACCTAACTTCATGGAAATTTTTCACATAGTTCCAAGAGGAATCTCAAAATTAATTTCAAAGATGTATTGTAGATAATGTTACAAGATTTCCAAAATGTCCAAGAACTCTCTAAAATCATTTATGGTTAGGGAGAATCGAAGAAATGAAAATGGCCATTTCTCACTTTTGTCCATGGCATTTTTCACATTGTTACAAGTTGCAAATTTGTCCTAAGCATGCTTGTACTTGTTTTACAGGTCTTAAACCTTTCCACAATCCTTAATTTAATGTAAATACATTGGACAATGGCTTTGTTCTGAGCTTTGGAGCATTGTATATTGATTTATTCCAAAAGTGGCATAAAGGTTAAAATGCTACTTTGATAAAGCATACTTTTAGCAATTTTGTTTATCTTGAGCATTGAACCTGATCTTTGGTTGTAAACAAGATCCATGAACATCGAGAAAAGTGTACCAACCCTCTACATCCCACGAGCTAGCAAGTACAACCTTTGCCTTTGTCACTTCAACTTTTGCTTCAAAAGCAAGAAATTATGCAAAAGTCAATACAACTCTTGTATCTGATAAAACCAAGCCTTTGCCTCATTTCAAACAACCTCAACATATTGTAACAAGCAAGAAACACGATTTTCCAAGCTCTCAAACACTCTAAAACACAACATCACAAGATCCTGCCCAAACAAGGCATCTGCTGCAGAACCATTTCCAAAACCAAATTGGCTCGTGCGTTTTGTCTTGAATCACTTCAAACACATTCCTTACAACACACCTGAACTATCCAGACCCCTGTCCAGAAACTGTGAGCTCATTTTCAAGCTTCACCATTTTCAATTTCTGAGTTTGCAGGTTGACTTCTACAAGGAGATTCAAGCAATTTCAAAGCAAGCTGAGCATTGGGAAAGGGTGAGGAAACTTCAAGCAAACTCACAAGTACTTCAGGCCTCACTCAAAGTTGCTACATTGCCATAAACAAACTCAACTGAACAAGGTAATTTTCAAAGTTCTATCTCCTTATTTAGGCATCATTAGGCTTAGGTTTGTGAATCAAAAATGTAGTCTTTAATGTGCTTGAGTTGTACATATGTATAGTTCTTATTTATATTGACTGAACTAGGAGTATTTGATAGTTGAAGTTGCTGAAAATTTTAGGTCAGAAATTAGGGGTGATAAAATTCTCCCTGGTTTCTTAGAGTTAGATCATAAAATGGATATGGTTGGAATCGTGATTGAAAATGCTATAACTTTCATGTTGTAAATTTTTTATTTCATGCAAGCATGAGCAAGAACATGATCAAGCTCAGAAACGCGCGCATTTGGTCATTTGTTCAAAGGACAGGGACGAAGTGAGATTGGGCCTGAGCCTGGCTTTTTCTGGCTATTTGCACCGTCCTTTTACTTTCTGCACCCCTTGGCCCATTTTCTTTATTTGTATTTTTTATTTATTTCTTTTATATTTTCTGACTTTATTTATTTTTTCTAAACTTTATAAAATCATAAAAATATTTTCTTAAATTTTTGCATTTTATTTTATTTTTTATATTATTTTTAGGGCATAAAAATAGTTTATTAATAACAATATACTTTATTTTTCTTAAATAAAACTTGTAAATAATATAAAAATATCACATATTTTATTTTTATTATTTATACACTTAAAATAATATTTTCATACATATTTTAATTTTTAACATTTTTGTACACATTATTATTATTTTTCTTGAATAGAAAATAAATAGTGTAAAACATATTTCCTATTAAACAAAAATTAGGGTTTTCACCCTTTCAAAAATAATCATTTTTATTTTCTTATTTTTAAGACATAAATCAATTTATTTTTACATACATAAAATAAATACAAAAACATTTATGCATATTTATATTTTATTGTACATTTAAATAATTGTTCATTTATTTATTGTATGAATTCAATTGGGTTGTAATAGTTTTAGGGTTTTATTTTGTGCAAATATCCCCTATTCAAAACTTGTATCCCCCTCCCCATAATATTGTATAATAGTCTAGATTTACTTTACGCATTTTATTGCATTCATATACCATGATAGTAAACTAGGGTTTTGAATGAAAAGACCAAAAATCAAAACAAATAGCATGACTTAAATACAAGACAAAATGCATGAAAAATGACAACACAATGCACACAAGCACCCCTAGGGTTTCATCCACTTTGTTGCCTTAAAACATGGTCATGGTATGCATGCTAGGTATCTTAGCAAAACAAAACAAAACAAAAAGATCATAGTCCCTTGATGACGCTATCTTGGTTGCCTAAACAAAAATGATCTAGTCCCTCAAAAACTTGCTAAGATACTTGGCAATATTGTTCTTATGATCATACGATGACCCGCGTCTGTCCCGTTTAACATCTAAAGATAGGATTGTTTATCAAATACAATGGTAAAACAACAATGTCAAAGAAATAAAAATGTATAGGAAATACTTTTGAGTAGGGTAGATAACTCCTAATTACTTGATCTCTTTCAAACAATCCTTGCTATTTTCAAACAAACACACACAATTTCAAAACAATTTCCAAACAACTTTCAAACATTGAAACATTTTTCAAAAGAAAAACACCTTTGTATACATTCAAACAAGAATCATTACAAATATTTCCTAATCAAAGGCCTTTTTTCAAAATACTTTCAAAACCACACACAAAAGCACCATTTCAAACAATTGAAAAGCAAAAGCAAGTGATCTAAAACAAGTAACTAAGAGTCCATGGAAAACCATGGATGAAAAGGGTGCTAGCACCTTCCCTTTTCATAATCTACCCCCCGAACCCAAAAACAATCTCAAAGGTCTTTCCTGTGTTTTTTTACTTTTCCTTTTGGATAAAATAAAAGTCGGTGGCGACTCTTGCTAAACCGAAACATTTGCGAACACAAACGCAAAACCTCAAGTCAGTTCTCCCACTGCATCACAGTTGAGGATAGATTTCATTATTCTATCCTCATGCATTTTGTTTATCATTTATGTATATTCTTATCTATCAATTAATATAATTACTTATTGTTTTGCGTGTTCATGCCTAAACAACAACGTGAAATGAAACATATTGTCTAACCAAAGATTTCTCAAGCGGTTAGCCAATACAACAATATTAAGATTCAACGTTATATGTTAATGTTAAACCTAAATTTGTATACAGAGTTTAGTATCTAACAAATAAAAATCTTTGATCTAGTTAAGAAAAATGTCTTTCAATATCATTTCAAAATCATTATAACAAGTTATAAGTAGCTAATGCATAACAACACGAATATAATCATCAATATTAACACTATGATCAATAATAACACGTGAGTGTTTGGATGATTACACCTAACCCCAACAAAAGAGAATTTAGTTACGCTTACTCATGGTATCTATACAACGACGATTCGAAAAACAAAAGTGAAAAAGAATCCAAGATGATTTATGGATCAGGCATAGCCTCCACCCTGATTCTTTAATATCTCTTAGAAAAATTTCCTCTCAATCCTCTCTTGTGCTAAATATTTCTTAACTATTACAATATCACACCATATAACTAAAACACATAATAAAATATAGAATGAACTGGCTGAGAACTCAATTTATGTTATAGAGTTCAATTATAATGTCCTTGCTTGGCGAGGTCTTTGACTCGCCTAGCGTGTTTTACTTTGTTTCTCCGTTAAGTCAAGTTCAATTACTTAACAATTTATTTTGTTTGGACTTGACTACCATATCTTGTTTGGTGAACCTTCCTACCTCATTAAGTGAGAAAAAAATTTCTCCCCCCTTGAATTATTTATTGTAACCATATAGTCATATAGTCTTAATAAGAGATTTTTATTTTTAAATTTTTTTAAATAACATATATTTAATTTTAAAAAAAAAAACTAAAGGAATAAGTTCTTTTTTAGTATTCTTGATTATTGTAGCAATAAATATAACAATCCATTACCCTTTATTTACCAAACACTAGATTACTTATATTAAGTATATGGTATATATGGTAAGTAGATAAGATAACTACAATAATGGCGTGTGAGTAATTCAATCTTCCAAACGATGATTATCCAGCTGTCTCCATATCTTCCTTTATTTTGTTTCTTCATATAGTAATTACACCCATACTTCACCATACCAAAGAAAATTCTCATGTACAACCTTTCAACAATCAAGTACTAGTACCACACACAATGTTTTCATATATAGTTTTATGTAACACTTTGTCACACTAGAAGATACGATATTATCATCATCATATATGTATGAATTTTCTGTCATATATATTAAAGTCACACATGTATATATTATTTAAAGTATCACAACTTAGGAGGTGGACGAACCCAATCATCTCCTTGAATATAAGCCATGCTCAAGAAAGGCTTTGCTTCTTCGTCAGATAGAATTCTCTGATATTTTAATCTTCCTGCAGAGGAAGCAGCACCTGGTCCAAAGCACTTGTATTCTCCAAAATAGATTGTCCTATATATATGAATCAAAATATTACTCTAGGTTCCTTTTTAAATGTCACTTTTTCAAAAAAAAAAATTTCTTTTTAAATGTCACATTTTAAATTTTAATATAGTATTAATTGTAATTTTGTTAAAATTATCACTAATGATTATTATAGAGAGAGCAAAAGTTAAATAAATTATTAAAATGTTAAAAGATCTTATAGAAAAAATAATAATCATCATTTATAAAATAACAATAATTATTAATTGTCTTGATATATATAAAAAATAAAAAAATAATAATTAAAAAGGAACGATGAGAGTAATTCTTGATAGTTGAATTTCTTATACCCTAATTTTGAAAAATGATAAAGTTAATTATAATTGATTTGTTATATTCTATGTAGCCGACACACGTCAGTATCCGACTATAAAACATCTCTATGATACATTATAAAATTTAGTGAAGGTAATGTTGTTTTAACACTCTTTGAATTGATGTTCCATTTTAATATAACAAATGTAATCAAAGTGTTTAAAAATATTTTTTTTTTCCTAACACATTTTATAAATTTTCTTTTGAACAAATCTAAATGAGTTAAATATATATTTAAATAATTTTATAAATAAATAAATAACCACGTGAACTTTGATTAGAATATTTTACCTCTTTTAAAATTAAATGGATAAATAAAGATTAAATTATACCATATATTTAACGGTATAGTGTGTCATGTGTTTGACATTATCGACGTTAAATCAGTGTTGGAGTGTCCATGTCGTGTCGTATCAATATCATAGTGATACGTTATATTCTCACATAATGTCGATTAAAAATCAGGCTTGTGAAAAACTTACTCATTGGATTCATGATGGTGGAACCATCCTACAGAATTGACAACAGAGCCTATATAGGTGTATGCAAATACAACCCTAGGGCTTCTTCTCCAACCACGTCCGAGGTAAGTGTTTCTGAAACCATTTCCAGTTACCTTGCAGTGCACAAACGCGAATCCAGTGTCTTCTGACACGTTTTCCCTACCTTGCGCTGTTATAACATTCAAACCCTTCGCAACCGATTCTATCGTACTTCTCTACACACGAATATCATCATACATATATAATATGAATACCATCAATATATAAAAGATAGTGATTAATAATTTCTACTAGTACGTACCAAGTATATGGATTTTCCATTCCCAAAAATGAAATCATACGTTCCTTGAATAAAACAGTCCTTGAAAAAATGTCTTCCTTTATCATCACACAAAGTATCCTGAAATCCAATGAACTTGCAATCATAGAATGCAGCCTTATCCCCTGATATCCTCATCGCTAAAGCTTGTCCTCCAACACTATTTTCATTCGGCATAGGAGCCGAGTTCTGAACATAAACACAAATAACATGTCCAAATCATAGGCACAATAACACTAAATCTATAAAAAAAATTTCAAGACCTTTGTTTAAAAAACAGTTCATTACTGCAAAAATAACCGCGACAAAAAGTCATCAGAGGTTGCCCATATTGATACAGTGGTGACCGTAATCAGTATCACGACACTTGTACAGTTATTTAAAACTTGGCATTCACCAAACTTGGCATTCACCAAACTAGAAAATGAGAATGTTACATAGGTTGAAATTATTGAAGGTATATAATTACCACAAATGCGACATTGACAGCAACAAAGTAATCAGCATCGACAGCGACCGTTGCGCTAGCAAGTGTCCCATAATGCAAAGCAGTTGCGTCGTAGGTAATAATTGGCATGTCATTGTCGTTCCCATTCCTTTCCCCATAAAACGTTACAAAACCTTTCGACTTATCAACCGTTATCTTCTCTCTATATTCTCCCATACCAATCCACACCACCACTCGCCTGTTGTTCCCCGACGGAATACTTTTAACAGCCTCCGTCACCGTCCTGAAGTCTCCGGCTCCGTCTTTCCGAACTCTCACAACTCTAACGTCGCCTTCCTCCGCAGCTGTTAAGTGTTTGTCCAACAGGGTGGTTTCACGGTGGCGGTTGGTTTCGGAAAATGTTGGAATGACTGGAAGAATGTGAAGGAGTGCTATTAGTGTAGTCAATAATTTCGCTCCAGTTACAACGTGACCCATTTTCTTTTTCTTCTTCTTAGGCTAACGTGTATATATATTGATGGAGGTGGGAATATATAGTCACGTACTCAAAGAGATAGAGAGTACGTGGAGGACATGTTAGTGCATGTTATAATGAAGTGAACAATTTCAAAAAGAAAAGTTATTAGGAAAATTTTAAGGCGGTCCAATCATGGTCCAAATTTTTGTAAAAGAAAAAACTTAAAAATATGTAAAATATTTTAAAAAAATATTTCTTGTAACAAAAACAAAGAATAAAGTTAAAATAACAATTAATTTACTTGACTTTGAACTCATCAAAGTTATCTTTAGACTCAAATGACACTTCTATGTATGTAGAAGGATGACTTAAAATTATTATTATTATTATTATTATTATTATTATTATTATTATTATTATTATTATTATTATTATTATTATTATTATTATTATTATTATTATTATACAATCGTTACTCTGTCTAATTTTTGCAAAGATTTAAAACATTTGAAGTTTGGTTCTCTCAAGAGGTCTAGTATCTTTGCTTGCTTGGTTTCAATCCGAAGAATGAGAATTCTATATTGACTCATAATGTCAAGTATTGACTTCTTGTTGGTTAGATGGTTCTTATCCCTAACTTTTACCTTATCCTTTAGGATAACCTCTTCTTCTCCTCCTATATTCTTTAATTTCAAAAATCTTCTCCCTCCTTTTAAAAACTCTTCTTATTTCTAAACTTGAAACATTTTCATAATAAACTTGGACTTAGGTCCATATATTTTCAAAACATTTTCATAAATAAATTTCAATCAATTTAATAATACTTTGACATTTTTTTTTGTGAGAAGACTAAAAGTCAATCAATCTCATTTCAAACCATTTTTGCCATTTTGACTTTTATCTTTAAAATTTTCTCAAAAGATTAGACTTTTGTCAATCCTTGTAGTGATACAAACAATTATACTTCTACAATATGTAGTAAAGAGAGATATTTTCCGCTTGGGTGATTGAGTGAGACATTGTTGATTTTAAAATCCAAGCCATATCCTCCACTTTAAGATGATGCAAATTCTCCTTTCTCATGATTGTGGGTAGTAAGTATGTTTTCCACACGGACAATGACGATGATGTCTTATCTCATAAAATTAACTAACACACTTGAGTTTCAAATTTTTAAAATAGGAACTACGTGTACCCTGATCCCCTATTGCACGAAAGGTGGTACGTAGGCACTACAGGTTCGCAACCGCGGCGGGTGCAAAAATCATAAAAATATTTCTTTTCTCATCTCCACCGTCCATATTTTACATAACACATTTTCATCTCTGGCAACTCTGGCTTCCATGTACCAAGTGAATACTTGGAATGATATACCTCGTATTACAGTTCGACGGCTGGATAGACCCGCTCATGTGTTTGCAACAGAGGAGGTAGTAGATGAAAAACCTTGGTATTATGATATCCATCATTTTCTTCAGACTCAGGAATACCCGATTGGTACGTCGAGGAAAGATAGAAAGACACTAAGAAGATTGGCAGGCAGTTTCTTCCACAGTGAGAATGTGTTATACAAGAGAAATTATGACATGGTCTTGCTCAGATGCGTGGATAGACACGAAGCAGACATGTTGATGCATGAGATTCATGAAGATTCATTTGGCACTCATGCTAATGGGCATTCGATGGCTAAAAAGATGCTAAGGGTAGGTTATTATTGGTTGACAATGGAATCTGATTGTTACAAATTTGCAAAGAAGTGCCATAAATGCCAGATTTATGCAGACAAGGTCCATGTGCCTCCGTCACTTCTCAATGTGATTTCTTCCCCGTGGCCTTTCTCTATGTGGGGTATTGACATGATCGGGATGATAGAACCCAAAGCTTCGAATGGACACCGTTTCATCTTGGTAGCAATTGACTACTTTACCAAATGGGTAGAGGCTGCTTCTTATGCCAATGTTACCAAACAAGTGGTTGTGCGTTTCATCAAAAACAATCTTATACGCCGGTATGGTGTGTCGAGTAGAATCATCACTCACAATGACTCGAATTTGAACAACAAGATGATGACAGAACTGTGCAAAGAATTCAAGATTATCCATCACAATTCATCTCCATACAGGCCAAAGATGAATGGGGCAGTTGAAGCTGCTAATAAGAATATCAAGAGAATTATCCAGAAAATGGTTGTTACTTATAAGGATTGGCATGAAATGCTCCCTTTTGCTCTACATGGATATCGAACATTTGTTCGCACTTCAATAGGAGCAACCCCGTTCTCCCTGGTATATGGAATGGAAGTTGTACTCCCTGTTGAGGTAGAGATTCCCTCATTGCGTGTGATAATGGAAGCCAAGTTGGCGGAGGCTGAATGGGTCCAGTACAGGTTTGACCAACTGAATTTGATTGAAGAGAAGAGAATGACAGCTTTGTGTCATGGGCTATTATATCAGAAAAGAATGAAGAAAGCATTTGATAAAAAGGTCAAACCTCGTGAATTCAGAGAAGGCGACCTCGTGCTCAGGAAGATCATGTATTTCAACACTGATTCTAGGGGCAAGTGGACTCCTAATTTTGAAGGCCTGTATGTTGTCAAGAAAGCCTTCTCTGGCGGTGCATTAATTCTTGAAACTATGGATGGCGAGGAGTTCCCACGTCCCATGAATGCTGATGCAGTCAAGAAATACTTCGCCTAAAGAAATAAAAGAACAACTTGCTAAGTTGAAAACCCGAAAGGGAGGCTTAGGCAAAAAGGAACGTCTCGGTAGGCTGAAAACCCGACAGGGCGGTCTAGGCAAAAATTAGAGACATAAACAGAATAAATTTCCCGCTAAGTTGAAAACCCGCAAGGGCAGCTTAGGCAAAAGTTAGGGATCTTTCCTTGGCAAGTAACTACGTCAGACAAGACTTGATCGTTGAAGCAACAATCTTCCTGGATCCTCACCATACTTCAACAAAGGCTGCTGCTCAGGATTTAAAAAGTTGCTAGAAGGAATAGTGGTCATTTTATCTCAATATATCTTTTCCATTATATATTACCATTTCCCAAACTTTGTAATCATCCATGGAGTCTCGCCATTTGCAGACTACCATTCTATTAATGAAATTCGAGCTTTTGCCCAATTCTTTGTATTCGTATTTTTATTTAGCTTGAAAAGACTCCATTTATTACTGATAATAACTTTCAAAGCAAAAAGATTAAAAAGCAAAATTGAATTTTCAAAAAGAAAAACATCTTTACAATTCAATTTACTTTGGGATTTGTGATGAAACAATGGCAACAAAAATGGAGATCCCAGGAATGAACAAACTCCGGTTATTTTTAAGAAGTTTTACTTCCTTCATGAAGGTTTTTCAAGTCATTTTTGCTGGTATGTGCGCAATCTTTGTGTGTTTCTCAGATAGTTAAAGACAATACCAGTGGGCACAAGGTACAATGTTAGGTTTGTGATCCCATTATCCCTGACCAAGTCTTGGTTCGCTTTTATTTTGGGTTTGCGTGGTCAGAAGCCTTCGTCCCAGATTCTCCAGCAAAGTTTTCCCTCATATGATGAAGGGTTTTATTCCCTTGGTGTGCTAAGATATCGCTCTTTTTGCAGTATTGGCATTAGTGTTGACTTCTTGATTTCCCAGGAAGACTATACCAGGGCATCTTTTGTTGGAATAGGTTTGTATGATATGAAGACTCAATCCAATATTCTACAATGAAAGCCTCGTTTATTTGATATAAGTCCTTTCTCCCCAAAGAAGTTGGTGCAATAATTACTCTCGAAGCACGTATCTCTGCTTTCCCCAGTGAAGCACGTATCTCTGCTTTCCCTAGTGAAGCATGTATCCCTGCTTTCTCCAGTAAGGATTGTTTCTCCAGTAAGGATCATATCTCTAGTGAAGAATGTATCTTGGTTTCCCCTCGATGATGTGGTTTTGACCTCCCCAATAAAGTCAGCATGAAGTCCCCAGTAGATGTCTCGATGATGAAGCATTGTCTCCCTTAGTGAAATCCGTATGTTTTTCTTCCTTCAAAGTGCGTCTGAATTCCCCAGTGAATGTTTTGACAATTTGGTTTCCATCTGCCTTATTCAAGATCAGTATTGAGATCCCTAGTAGGAGTACAGACTGTGAAACATTTGTTTTCCCTACTGAAGTCTGTGTGTTATTCCCCGGGAAGGTTATCCCAGAGCATCTCTTGTTGGAATGAGTATTCATGATGAAAAGTTTTTAATCTGCAGTTTTTTTTCCCAGTGAAGTGGGTTTGAATTCCCCGATGAGGTTTGTTTGTCTTGGCGTCAGTCTGCTCTATTTGAGGCTAGTATGGCAATCTCCAGTAGGTGTATGTTGCTTTTGAAAACTGATTTCTCCGATGAAACCAGCAAAAAGATGTTTTATCCCGGTATCTGTTTGATTTAGCCACATCCGGATTATGTTTCTCCTCAGTGAACTTAGGACTGGCAATAGGTTTTGTTTTCGCAGTTGCTTTTGCCTTTCTTGGATTGATCTTTCTGGTTGAAATTTAGCCCAATGTTGTTGGTACCTGAGACGGCTTTGTTTGTGCTGATTATGTATCATTTTACCAGCATACGCACGATATCACTCATACATTCATGCATGCATCATGCATTGCCACAAATCATTTGATTGATATTATGTTCTAACCTTCCTGCAGCGCTCCTTGCTTAGTTGGATTTGGTTTTTCCCTCTTGATTTTATTTATCAAAGGATGTATCTTCATTGGCTGTCTTGCTTTGGTTTGTTCCCAATTGGAATCGTGGTTGAATGACGATATTATTTACTTTGGATTTATGAGAACTTCGAGTTTTGTTTTGTGCATTTATTTTGCACAAGAAGACTTTATTTCCTCTGCAGGAATAATGTGGCATTTCCCCAGGAAGTCATATTTCCCCAAGAAGTCATATTTTCCCAGGAAGTCATATTTCCCCAGGAGGTCATATCTCTCTCCCTAGGAAGTCATATCTCTCTCCCCAGGAATTCATATCTCTATCCCCAAAAAGTCATCTTTCTT